GATTTTTGTTTCCACGCTCCATCCTCATCCAGCAGTCAATGGGCTTCCCATAAATAACAAATCCCATAAATCTGTGGCAAAAGCAGTCTGGCACTGATGTGCCCATCATAGCCACTGCTGGTGAGGTGGCCTGTGAGCTTATAGATCATCAGCAGTGGCATGATCATTGTGTTCTGAACATGAGACATTCCAGTTGTGCCAGAGCCATTGGCAGCACACACAGTTTTTCCCAGTGCTCTTCAACAGGAATCTCATAATCCTGTAGTGTTGCAACCCTGGTTACTGAGAATTTTAGACTTTCTGTGCTGACAGGCACTGACCCCCAGGAGAAAACCGCATTTGACCTGAGACTGTGGAAAAGGCTTCCAAATTGAATTATAGAACTGGGATTGTGGCTCTGGAGTTAGAAGTGTGTAATATCACCTGGTGGAAAAGAGTTCAAGGGTTTAGAATATAGCAATAGATATAAAGCAAGATGGAGGTTTTAGGGTGCAGGCTGGTCCTTCTTTTTACCTTCTTCTTCACCTTCTGCTCCATGGGTTTGGGTGGTTTTGTGGAATTGGGTAGTAAAGTCCTCACTGCGGGCATGGGTGATTAGTTATTGGGTTAAAAGTAAAAATAATGGAGGTGTCATTTCTTAATTGGACAGTTTATCCTTAAAAGGCCTTGTAGAGAGAGAGAGAGATGGGGCTCCATTTTCAGTTTGTCAGAGTGAAGGGTTGCAGAGCTCACAGCTTGTGAGACTGTAACATAGATAAGAACTAAGAAACATCTGAGTCCCAACAAGAAATACCATCTCACGCATTTAATCCCGACCCTGGCAGAAGAGAAGCAAAGACTCAATTACTGTAGGACATCATTCCTTTGTGCTCTAGATGCAGAACTCCAGTCTCTAGGGATGAGCTCTCCATGCTGGCCGAGTCCTGGCTGTATTGACCATCAGTGTGTTTTGGGAGCTCCTCCTTTGCCTGGACTGTGCTCAGCAATGTGGTTTAGGGGGCTGAGGCTCACTGATGATCTCCTATCCATACCCACAGCTTGCCTGGATCACCCTCCATCCTCAAGGATAACATTCAAGGTGCCTGGGAATGGAGTTCCCAAGTGGCTCTGTGGTACAGGCACCCTCAGGAGGAGGGGGGGATCCATAAAGAGATGACTGACCTGCTCCTGCTCGTGAGCTGAGGATGGAGAGAGACCCAGAGTCAGCCCAGGAGCACAGAACCAAGAAAGTGTAGCAGCCTGAACTGATGCTAGTAAGATCCAGGGTAAAGAAGCAGAAAGGGCCTTTGCATGGTGTCCACAGATGTTTAATTCAGCCGTGCCATGAGATGTTCAGAGTTCCCCCAGCACACACATGTCTCAGCTCTCACTGCCCTGTCCAGAGGGGTCGGGGGGTGAACCTGGTTTCAGGGCAGTACAAAGATGAGGGCCAATCAGGGAACAAGGAGGGAGTGGCTCAGGGACATAGGAACAGACATAGGAACAGGGGAAGGAGCAAATGGGGTTTTAACAGCTTTGAGGGAAGCTTCTTGTGTCTCCCTAAACCAGGGAAATGCCTCCCAGGGTCTCCACTAGGAAGGGCACTCCTGCTTCCTTTTCAGGAGCCCATAGGTCTCAGGTAGGGTTTTAGACCTTGCTGGGAGATTTCACTCAGGCTCAGGGGCAGGGAGGATTCTGTACCCACCTGATATGTCTGACAAAGCTCTTATCTTTCTGGTGAGCTCTGTCTTCCCCCATGTGGCACGAAGTACAGTGCAGGGGAGTGCTGCTCCACTGGAGCCTTCTGCAGACTTTTCTCAGATCCTGAGCTTCCCCCTTGGCATTTCAGCCGGGGTTTTCTCAAGATGTGCCAGAGATGATCTGGGGCTCAGGGAGCCCAGAGCACCCTGGGCTGACCATCCTGCAGGGCTGGACATCCTGCCCCGGTAGCCAGAGGGACCTGTGCCTTTGCCATGCTGACAAGGAGCAAACAGCTCCAGGAATGTTAGCACCATAAGCTGAAAGACTAGACGTTAAAAAAAAAAAAGAACAAAAAAACCAACCAACCAACAACCTACACAAAACAGCAGTAAAAAATACAAATCAAGTTTTAATTTGTTATGAATTTGGGATCTACTTCTTGCTCTTACTGCATGCATCTTAATTTTCACTGCTTCAGCCACAGTGCTTTCCCGTGGGCCAGAGGTAATGGATGATCACATCGAAGCAATACATCTCAAAATTCTGAAGCCAAAACAAGACTAACAAGCCACAAACCAAATACCTATGTTAAGTATGTCATCAAGATGCTTTAAAATTTAAATCTATGCTCTAGTCAAAGATTTCTGAGAGAAAAACAAGACCAAATTTCTTGATTACAGTATTTGTTCAGACTTTGTGTAAGTTAAGAACTAATTCTCTTCCTTTCATTTAAGATTAAGAAAAAAAATTGGATTTTGTGAGGAGGACCAGCAAAGTGACTATTCTGCTTATGTCCTATTTTCAGGGCTAAAGCATGAATAAAATAATGTTTAAGTTTCTTGTGAAATTTATTAGCAGAGATATGAGGGTTTTTTGGCAGAATAGGACAATAAAAAAAAAGTTATTTCCATATCCACATATTACAGATGTTTAAAGATGTTTCTAGAAGGACTATTTGCAAAAAGAAGGTTATACCCTTTTTTTCCTTTCTGGGTGTTTTTAAAATGCTCTCTCTTTTTTTTTTTTTTTTTTTTTCCTAATAGCTTTTACACTCTGTTCATAAAATAAAGTCACATACAATCAGTTAGCTGTACAGATTACATTAGTAACAATATACCAAATTTGCTGTACTATTTTTGTAATCCTGCCAGTGTTTAAGACTTCATTATTTATCACAAAGTCAAAGCCAATTTTTTCACTGCTTGATTTCTTCACTAGTACTACAATTAGCATGTCCTCAGTCCTATTCTTCCTTTTTATCAACAACTGGCAAGCCTGAAGCATTTGTGATACTCCAATGCTGCAAACATTTACAGCAAAGGATTTTAGGCACGTCCAGGTGAAAATTCTGGACACAGAACTAGAACAATTCCTCCTTTCTACAACACTGTCCTTTTCTTCTTACTTGACTTCAACACAGGTCTTTCCACTGAGAAATCCTGTTTGGAATTCCTGCTTTCCCATCTTCTGGTGCAAAACGGATGAGCAGTGCAAGAGTTCTGCATGGGCCCCTTTTGAAGTGGCCTGTGAGGTTTGCAGCATCAATATAAAACTAGATTATATCAGTGCTGGAATGCAATATTTGTTGGATAACAAAGCTATCGTTTTTCCTTGTTTGTATTCTACAAAGTAGCATTTTCAGCATCTAGTTCCCAATGATTTTCTATTCTGGATCCAATGGCATCATTCTCAACAAGCTTTATGACTAAAATTTGGCCACAGTTCAACCACATCTGCACCTTCTCACTGAGAAGGATGTGTTGATGTGTGGATGACCTATGTATCCTACTTTTCCATTTAGGACATGTCTGTGACCCATCAGTCCCAGAGCCCCATGTGAATGCAGATTTGGGATTTGCAATGAATTCACCTGGAACTCTCTGCCACTGAAAACCCTATGGCATGGGGGTTGTGTGGTGTTTCTAAAACGGTCTTGTATCTTTTTTATGGTCTTCAGGTACTAGTGAACTACAAGGCAACGACAAAAAGCACTTACAGTTCTAGGTCTACAAAACAACTTTGCTATTTTTTAGCTGTCAGGAAGCTCCTGGGCACTTTCCGTGCAGCAGCTGTGTGGTTACTCAAACACTAAACAATCAATGTTTTGCATATTTCCAAAAGTTAATATAATTCCAAAGCCACGGATGACCCTACTCATGTAAATTATTCATCAAGGAAAGTCTTCAAGACCTTGAATGTTATGTTACAAATATTTAGTAATTTATTTCTCATCTTTTTTCTCTCAGCGTTCATTGCTTGAAAATTACTTTAATGCAATGTAACAGTATCTCTTTTATTGCAACCCTTTGACTTTTTCTATACTTTTACTCCTGCTTTCAGATTTTCTTTCGCTTTTTGGTGCACAGCAGTAGCCACAGGTTTTCTATAGCTACATTATCACATGGTGTGACACAAGACCACTTCTGCAAAGCCAAATGGTTGGTGCTAAGAGCTTACCCACATTAGGGGAATTTCAAGGCTTGTTTCAGACCAGTTTTCATTTGGTCCCATGGACTAAATATTCATTACTGGGTGCATCTAATGCAGTGCAGTGACGCCTCAGGTTTTAGCTTATATTTTTCAAATTCTGTGCTGCTTTAGTGTGTAGTTCTGAGCTTCATATGAGGGGATGGTGAGCTCTCTTCACAGAGCAGGCAGACAAAACAATTCCTTCTCTAGCTGGGGACCAAGGACAAATGATCCAAATCTCAGGCCCAAGAGCACAAACAATGGTGGGCTGAAGAGAGAAAAACAAGAAGGGTGGGACTTCATAAGCCAAAGCTGGAATTGGACAATTCACTCCAATGTGCAGATGGGCCAGAACTGATCAAAGTGAGAGACCTTGTGACCGGTCGTCCATTCTGGGACCGTTCTGGGTCCATCTTGGGTGTAGGCCTGGCTGGGCTCTTGTGGGGCCCAAGGTGGATCCATTGAGGCCTTTTAGCAAATCCCTGCTTTATTCTGTAACTCTGTCCAGGCTCTGTTCTAGGTCAGTAACCTCAACAACTTTCTAACAAGGAACCCTTCTTTTTTGTCTCCTCTGTTCCTTGGTGATTTGTGTTTTGAGGGAGGTATTGGAACAGTTATTCCTTTATGAAGAAACACAACATTCCTTTTGTAGTGAAGGCAATTAGAACTCAGCTGTGACCTAAGCATTGACTTCGAGCTGTCAGCTGCTCCACAGCTCTTGGGTGAGTGAAGCTATATGCATCACCAAAACCTGCTGATCTCAAGACAACCTCAGGCTGGCTGTCTTATTTGATTGTCCTAGTTCTTTGTATAAAAACACATTTTATGGGCAAGCAGATCTACATGTCTTTATCTACAAACTCTCCTTTAATTAGAGCAGAGCTAGCACACAATTCCTGAAAGGTGACCTCAAGTGAAGAATGGGGAGGAGTGGGAGGGAGGAAGAGGATGGTGACAATGGCTTGATCTGGATTTCTGCACTGCCAGAATCATCTCCACACGTGCCAGATCCCAGCTGAGAGTGAGCAGTACTGCCTTGTACCTCATCTTCCTGGCTGAGAGAGGAGGAGAGGCAGAGAGCTGAGGGTCAGACTCATTGGCACATATGATCTGTGTGGAAGTAAATGTGATGCAGAGCACATGAGCTGCAGCTGCTTACAAATATGTTGATTTAGTTAATTGAGTTGTCATGACAACTACTTCATCGAAACTGCTACAGCATAGAAGTTGTTATTGGCACCTGATTATTACATGTATTTTAGATAATTCATGCTTGTGAGAAATAGTTGTATGAAATATGTTATATTAGTAAGACATATTCCTGTACGTATTCTTAAGCACTCAAGCCAGAACGGGAAAATTGCTTCACAGTATTTCGAAACCAAAGCTGGCAGCAGGGAGAAAAGGACCTCATTTCCAAACGAATGGAGGTGGCCAGCTCGGAGATGGGTACTTCTCCAAGGTAATCCAAGGAACACCCAGGAGATGAATACTTGGTAATTATCTCAGATTGAGATAGCCAGAGCCATCAAGAAGACGCATCTCAATGTCAAGTTCCAGTAATCCTCTGATTGGCATCCATCACTTCCCAGACACAGTTTTGTTCAACTCAGCCAGAGAAAAGAGACTCTATGAATATGTGAGACTTTGAATGGAAAGAAAAGCCTGATCCCAAATCTCCGAAATCCCTGCCTTGAGCAAAATAAACTGTATAAACACCACTTGAGCAGGACGGTGTGAACATAGGGGACCCTCTGCTGCAGCAGTCAAATGTGTGTCTCACCCAGTGCTGATCCCGGACTCGGCATTGACCCTTTTTTTTTTTTTTTTTGATAGTGGCTTTTCGCTGTTATCATCTGAATTTATATTTGGAACATTTAATAAATTTTCTTTAATTAATAAATTAGAGCATTCATTTATAACATGATGACTCTACACAAATCATTAAACTTTATGCACAGAAAAAGTCAAACTCTGTTTAGTCAATTTAGAGAGTGGAATGTAAATAATGTAGTTTTAAGGGGAGGAGGGGGGATGAGGAGAAAGACTTACCTGTTCATAGCAGGTCACCACAGCTCAATTAGTGAGTTCAGCTTCAGGCTGGAAGCACTCTTCTGGCTCACGCACAAGAGCTGGCATTTCAACCCACCAAATAGGGGACAACGCAGAGGAGTTCAGAACCTACAAAAAAAGCCACTGAAGAATCCTAAGAGACTGACAATACACAGGAAGAGCCTCTGAGCATTTAAGGACTGAAGCTCCATTTCACACACACTGTAACCTGAAGACAAGCTAGAGCAGTACAAATTTAAGTCAAGAAATCAATTACCATGATGGCACAATCTGGCAAGTTTGTGATCACAACTAGAAATCCCAATTCCTTGGCTCAGCTGGCATGTCTGTTAGTCGGGAGCCAGAGAGCTGGAAAAATGGGCGCTCGTGGGGATGCTCTTCTTGTTAAACTCAGAAGCAAAGTGGCACAAGTCAGGGCAGTGATTTTCACTTTAGAGTTTCTTTGCCTTTGGGAATGTACCTCATAGAGGCTGTTCTTCAGCAGTTTGAAGTCCCATTATGGATGGGAAAGTGTCCAGAAGGTAGAGGCAGAGCTGCAGCATCCAGCCGAGCCTTGCAGGCTTCCCTTGCACCTGGCAAGGAGCCAAGTGCTGGAAGGCTCCTGCCACCCTCCCCCTGGGTCACTGGAGCTCCTTGCATGCCCCTGCAGCTTCCTGGTGCCTCTGAGTGCAGATCCAACTAAGATCCAGTTATGTCCACAGATAAAATCCTGAAGTAGCTCCAGAGGTGCCTTGTTGCTTTGTCTCAGTGAGTTCTGCACTGCCAAAGACTGGAATCCTGTGGGTTTCCAGCCAAACCTGCTCATATTAGAGCCCTTTAGACCTGCTTCTATTTTATACTGCAGTGACAAGATTGAGACACTCTATTAGCAGTAAGTTTAGTCATAATGGTCCACATCATCACTGTCATACATCTCACACCTGACCAAGAGTCTTCTCCCTACGAGTCTGCCACTCCAATCCCCAGTGTTATCTGGGCCAAAGTACCACCAAGGTAACGTGTTCGCTGTCAGAGCGTCACCCATGATCATCAGAAGGGTGTCTTTGGCTTCATGATAAGGGTTTAGAGTATTTGCTGTCCAATTCCAGTGGCAAGGGATGTGGTGGGACTTCAAGTAGTGCTTAAGGCAGGCTATAAATGCTCCAGGTGCTTCACAGAAGTGGACAGAATCCAGTTCTCTGTCCTGAAAAGCTTCATCTGGGAGAAGAGGAAGACTGCACAGGATCTCATGAAATGTGCCCCTTGCCTGGGCAAAGAGCTCAGCATTCACAGATTTCTTCACACAGGACATTATTCTCCCTGCTTTATTGGTAAACAAGATGTGTCAAAGAAAATCCTCAAGGTTCTTATGGCTCAGTAGGTTCTTCAAAGAGCTTGCCAGTCTCCCTTGAACTTCTCAGGGTTTGTCTTCTGAAGAACATACAGATGATTCAGTTTCTTTATCCTCAGCTGAAATCGCAAGGTTGGCAGTATCACTGCAGAAGAAACCATGTCATTTATTCATGTCATTCTCATCATACAGGTATAGAAATGGGCTTTTTATTTTTTTTTTTAATAATAATTTTTTCTGCTTTAACCTCTGTATTCCAGAACAGGAGAGAAATGCTTTGTGGAATCATGCACCAATCAACAAAGTACATGAGGGCTATCATGAGTAAGGCCATTTGGAGATCACAAAGGTCACCAGTTCAGTTGCCCTTCTTGCCATTTACACAGCAAGTGAAGAAGAGTTTGCTGGTGCTTGGCCATTCACTGACTCTGAATATTCTGATGACTTTATAGGTATAAACGCTTAAATACAAATATCTCTCTCAGTCACAAAAGAGAACACACCACAAGCTCTCCAAATTCAGCAAGAGGCCCAGAAATCTTATCATCTGATTATGGTAGTGTCTATCTGAGAGCTCAAAGGATGGGCTGGCCACAAGCAAAGGCAACTTTGGGAGGGAGCACAGCTGCTACTCCTCCAATTTCCCAAGTGATAATAACCCTCCCACCTCTCCCACCAGAGCCAGCATGCTGCTGGGGAGCCCTTCAGCTGAAGAGACTCTGGAGAGATGTTGGACACTAGCCTGTTGTTTAGCTGTGACAGTGACTCCATGACCAGAGATGATGAGAGATGATTCCTCCCTCTCCCTTTTTTCTTCCTCCAGGTTTTTCTTTCCTCTTGCAGTACCCCCTCCTCTTCTGAAGGAAAAAATTCTCCATAAATAAAATACATGCTACATTCCCAATCCCATTAAGTTGAGAAGTCCCACTTCCCCAACACTGGCCCCTCCCAGAAACAACGGATGCTGCTGCTCCTCTTGGAATCCTCATGTTCATTCTCATTTAGCTTCCTCCTCACAGGGGATCATGTCATCCCCTGCAAAGTCACACACATCTAAGCCTGCCAAATGCCCTGCCAGCCTCTCTTGCAGCCTTCCCAAGCTTTTCTGCCTAGCCATCATCTTTCCAGGCCTACAACAATGTGCTGGCAAGATCTGCAGGATGGTTCCTGGGGAAAAGCCTAAATGGACGCAACTGCTCAAAAGTCAGGAAGCAACCAGAGAGGCCAAAGTGTTGGTTTGGCCGCCCTGCAACTTCCAGACTTGTGGAGATGGGTGTGAACTGCCCAATGTGTGACAGTAGGGGGAAAAACAGGGGATCTTCCTGGGAGACCACAGACAGTGCTCACCTTTCAACATCCTGGGCTGGTCCTCGGTAACTCCAGGGAGGGTCCCCTCTCCTTTCAGGAAGATTTCTGCCAGTTCCAGATAGGCCACTTGGACCTGGAATGTCTTGCAGAAGACTCCTACCTCTCCTGGCAGATAATAGACTTTCAACACTTGCTTCTCGCCAGGTGCAATGCAGCCCTGCAGGGACAGGAGAGGAGGAAGGGACTGCATCAAAGGTTTGATGTGGGATGGCTCAGGGGACAGACAGGCTGAGAAGACAGCTTCTCATCTAGAAGAAACCATCAGAGCATATCACTTTCTAGCTCCCTTCTGCCCAAAAGCTTGTGCCTCCAAGTCTGGAGTGCAGTGAGCCCTCCTGAGCTCTCGCAAGGCTGCAGCCCCAGCACAGCCTGATGTGAGCACAGCTCTGCTGCTCGTGGCATATGCCCTCTGCCAGCAAGGGCCATACCCAAAAAATAAAACCTCTTTTGCCAGGCTCTGTGGAAGAGGAGTCAAGTGCCTGCACTCTCAGGAGGGCCAGGAGCTCCTGTCACAACACATCAGCAATTCCAAGCTGGTGTCCAAGGGCCTGACCCCTTATTCATGATCCCAACAAAAACACGTTCTGCCCCTGCGGTTACACCACGCTGACTCATGGTTTCTTGCACACATTCAGCTCTGGAAATGCAGGAGCAGAGACTAGGATGAGTTCTGGGGATGGAATGATGGCAGGAAGGGCCATCCTCCTCTCTGGGCTTTCAGAAATGCTGTCCAAGCCCCAGGCGGGGCTCACAGCAGTGAGGTTGAAGGGAAACATGGCTCTGGGTGACAGGACACAGCTGCAGCTTTCCTTGGCTCAGCCCTGCACACCAGGCGGACCCTCGGCTCCCCATTCCTGTTCCCCGTGCAGGGAGAAGCGGCTGAGCAGGACAAGCCCTGTCCTGGGTTTCCTGACTTACTCCAGCACACAACTGGCTGAAGCCAAAGGGAGCCTGGCCAAGCTGCCAGCGCCAGGATGCTGCTCCAGCACCTGAGTGCACGGCCCAGCAGAGCTGTGTCTGCAGATGCCCACAGGAGGAGGGCACTGGCGTGTCAGCCCTTGCACGAGACACACACAAAATAATGGGAAAGCCCTTTGGCTTCCCCTTGGTTGCGGTGTATGGTTTTGATTGTAATTCTGTCCTAGGAGTAAGTTCTATAATCCCCGCCCCCCCCCATTTTGTATTGTTATGGCATAGTTTACTCTCAATGGATTGTTCCTTTCCCCCTGTCAGTTTTGCCCTAGTTGTCCATCTCCCCAAAGAGCTGCCCTTTTGTTCCCTGTTCCCGCTCCCATTGAATGCCAATCCCTTCCCATGCCTGCCCCTTTCTCTAGAAACTTCCCTATCCATTTTGTACCCTTTGAGGCCCCATTGGCCTAAGTTGTTCTCCCCTGTAATCCCCTATTGGTTTAAACATTGTATTCCCGCCTCATGTTCCACCCCCAGTTCCTCCCAATGGATTAAAGATTGCACCCGCCCCTAAGACCTCCCCGATACAGAAGTTGATGGAGGCCTTTGTTCCGTGTCTTTCTGTCCCTGACCCTCCTGGGAATAAACACCTTTGCAAACACACAGCAGAGCGCTCCCTGTTCCTGTCCCTGCCCTCGGCGCAGCCCAGCAGTGCCGCAGAGCAGCGGTGCCCCACAGCCCAGCCGGCTTCAGCAGTGTCTGGGGGCAGCCGCTCTCGCCCTCGGTGTCGGGAGCCAGCCGGGCTGAAGAAACCCGGCACCGCAGCCCCCTTCCCGTTCCAGAGAGCGCCAAAGGCAGCAATACTGCCAAAGCTCCGAGACATCCAGCAGGACTGAGAAGCTAGGATGGTGGCATGCTGACACCTCTTCTCCGTGCTCTTTCAGCCCTGCCCCTCCCTGCTCCCCTCATTGCCCCACAAAGCTCCTGCAGAGAAGCAAAGCTGGAGGAGGGAGGGACCAAGCACAGACGCCGTGCAATTTCTGGCAAAGCAGCTTCAAGCCCAAGCAAGGAAGATGGAAATGCTTCTTAGTGCTGGCAGCAGGGAGGCAGGGACAAGGAAGAAAGTGATCCTCAGAAGAGCCAGCACCCAACTCCACTCTCAGCAGAGACAGAGAGCTGAGCACTTGTGCCTCTGGCAAGTGCTACCTGCCAGCCAAGGCCATGGGGGAGTCTATTATATGAGCACTTGCTTGGTGTCTCTGCCCCAGCAGCGACTGCTTACCGTCCTGTCTCTCAGGACTGGGTTTGGGGCTTCCCCCCCACTTTTTTCCCTCTTTTTTCACCCTTTTTTCCTTTAACCCTCTCCTGGGCCACCTGACACAGGGCCAGAGCCGATGACTTGTGCTACTCACTGTGTTGGGCACGACCACGGGCACACCAGGCAGAGGGTTTGCTGCAGTGCCAGCGCCGGAGTTTGGCACCGCGTAGGCGAATTCAAGTACCCCGGTGTTCCTCAGGGTGACCTCTGCTTTGAGGACTTTGTCAAACACCTGGAGAGAGGACAGAGGAGTGGGAAGTTATAGACACAGGCCTGATGCTGGCAATCTCCTTCCTCTTTCATGGCCTTGAAAGCACACGGCCACAATGCAACCCCACAAGTACAGAGAAGGGGTAAAAGCATGTAAGGGCCAGTAATAAATGAACCAGGACACCAGGTCCTCTGCACTCTGAGGGGTCCCCAACAGCCAGGAGAAACCGTGGAGGTGGCACTGAGGTGTGTGAGATGAACCCAAAAGGTTATGAAGTGAAAGAATGAAAGCTGTTGCTTCTACATGTTGCTGTTTGAGTTGTTTGGAATTCTTCAGGTTGGTGTGTTGGGTGTTGCTCTGAGCTGGCAGAGGGACGGGGTTGAAGACCTGACCAAAAGGAAGAAGGAGGAGAGGGGAGGGGACTGAAAAGTTGGCGTTGGAGAGGCTGTAAGTTCCCAAGTACCCATCCAAAGGGAAAGGGAACAGGGAGCATCCTGGCCGAGTAGAAAGGGGATAGAAAGATTGCCATTTTGTTGCAGGGTGTGCTCAGCTCTCGGGGAGGGAGATGCACACCCGGCTCAGCTGAATTGTTCCTAATGAACAGTTTTCTTTTGCTTCTACAACTTTGTCCCCATTGAATTGTATCTAAAAGTTTGTGCATTTCCAAGGGAGGCATTCCAGAAGAAAAGGCACCGGCATGCAAATATTGGCAAGAAACACAGAGGTGACAAGAGAGACACACAGGATAACACAGGCAGTGCCAGCAACTGGAAATATCTGTGGACTTTGAACTGAAAAGAAGTCAAGTGGGGATTATTCTGGGACATTGTCTTCAGCTACTGAAGTGACTGAAAGCCCAACTTCCTCCCTGGATGATTTGGTGCATCAAGCAGGAGCATTAGACAAGAGCATCCCTATGGAGTCCAAGCCCTAGGAGTAGGTCAGGGGAGGGATATCTCAGGGACATGTCCCTCCAGACATCTTCACTGGGACCCTTGTGTTCCCCAGGAGGCAGCGTTAGGTGCCTTGAAGAGGGCGGTGTCCTGTCCCTCGGCCGGGGGAAAGGGAGGGGAGGGGTGAACATGGCCATTACAAACCAGCTTGGATGCTGGACATATCTCTCCAGGGTTGTATTCTAAGCCCCAGAGCCAGCAAGGAGCTGAGAAGGGGAGAGAGCCTGGCATCGAGGTGGCCGTGATGCCGAGACAAGGAGCTGTGCCAGGGGAAGCCTGTGGTACCTGCAGCCCCCAGTCAATCTCCTCCACGTCCAGTTGGAAGCTGGGGCATGAAGCCTGCCCAGAGACCACCACCTCGTAGGTGGGGCCTCCCTCCACGTGGCACAGCGCCCTGACACGGGCGATGATGTTGGCGTGGCCAAAGAAGGTGAAGGTGACCAGCTCGCTCTCTCCTGGCTCCAGCTCACCCCACACCGGCCGCACATCAAAAACCTGGAGGGAGGGGAGGAGAGATCAAGATGCTGAGAGTAGAAATGGATGCAGAAGAGCAGCTGTGTCTTGGAATAAAGAGGAGTCATAGCTGGAGGGGCCTATTCCCCAGACACAGCCAGAATCATCCTAATCTCATCCTGTGTCCATGCCACTGACCAGTGGAGGGATCATGGGGAAAATCTTCTCCCAAAGTCACTTATCCATGAGGATACACTACATTGTAGTCAACTGGAATGTCTCCCGGCAGCAAGGAGCTCTCTCTGCTGCAGAACTTGTCTCTGGGAACACTCCTCACTGCCTTCAGAAAAACAGCAGACTTGGAGGTGGGAGCCCTTGGAGCTGGGAGAAGGCTCATCTAACTTCTGAGGCTTTCCCCCTCTCTCTGATTTATGTGCCCTTCTCTCAAGCTGCTACAGCCAAAGCTCCTCCAAAAATGTCCTGTCAACCACCTGATGAGGTAAATGGGAGCAGTGCCCTCCACAGGTGCTGCATAGGGAGCATCCTGGGACAGCCCTACAAAACGTCCCACGTGGCCTCTCCAGTGACCACTTGCTTCAGCAGAGCTTTGTGCTGGGCTTGGAGAGATGTGAGGCCCCTCCAGTGGCAGTGGGGCTACAGAACCGCTTCCCACATTGGAAACATGGACGTGAGACAAATTCCCACTTACCTCCTGCATTCCCACCTTGGGGTGCTCCATCTTGGAGAACTGACTCAACCCCCTCATCCTCCCTGGCCTCTGAGACTCCCCAGCAGGGGATGACAGCCCCTGGAAAACAAGCACCACGGGCTGCAGTGAGCAGCTGGCTGGTCTGAGCAAGATCACTCTGCTGCAGGCTCCACCACCTCAGCACACCAGGAGCAGCTGAGAAGGGACCTGGGCACAAATCAAGTGTGAAAATGTCCAGGCCATCAGACGAGTGTGGGTCCAAGCCCACCCCCAGATGAGACCTGGCCTCCATCTGCACTTCCTACATCAAACTTGTGTGAAGGAACTGGGAGCCCCCAGCACTCAGGCAGGGAGGGCTGGAACTACACAATCTCTGAAAGTCCCTTCCAAGCCAAACCAATTCAGACTCCAGAATGGCCTCTTGAATTTCCCTGGTTTCCTTGTGCATACATGGCAACAACCAGGAAATAAAGATGCTTTTGTGCTATCTGAAAACATTCAGCCACCCTGTCTGTTGCACCTATAGTGTTTCTCCTGATTCAGAAAAACTGTGCAGTGTTGAAACAACTGCTGTTTGTGTGTGAGCAGGTACAACCCTTCTCCTTAAGGGTTTTTGAGAAACTTTTGATAAACTCTTCTGCTTCCTTACATCTTTTTTTTTATTGCCTCTGTTCCCCCAATGCAGAACAAGGGGCCACTTCCCACTCCAAAGTAATGTTCACCAGGCAAGTTGGCAGATCAAAGGCCTTTTTCCTTGTTTGGAGGAAGAGACAGTGACTTTGCAAAGCCGTGCTTTAGAAAAGACAGCTCTGGAGCTGTCACTGCAATACCAGCTTTCAGGTGAAGGCAGAGATGTGAGCGCTCTAGCAGGGTTGGGATGGGGGTACATGGAGATCAGGACTCTTCATGGACTGACACACATAGGAAGCTGGAAGCCTTCTCATCATGATGCAGATAAATACCTCATTTTACATTGTAAAGGAAATAAGCCAAAAATCCCAAAGTCAGCATAGGTCTGGAGGACCTGAACCAGCTTCTCTGAGCAAAACTTTCCTATTTCTCCCTCCCCAGACACTCCATATCCAGCTGCCACTCTCAGGGCACAGGACAGAAGGGCAGCAAAAGGCAGGTTGGCAAGACTATGAATTTTTTGTGGCAAGTTGAGGAGGCAATGCAAGTGGTAGGTGCACAGAAAATCCACCTCTGCTTCCAGGGAAACCTCTGCATCTGCTGGCTGCTGGGCAGAATCCTGCATCCTTTCTGGGCTTTCGGTTGGCTCATCCACACTTTCGGGCTTGGAGTATCTCCTCGGAAATGCTGCCTTCTTCTTGGGTTTGAATGTGGGTGGTGAAGGGATGAACCTGGAAAATAACATACCTATGGTTGTGGAGCTGTAGAGGGAGAGAGAGGTGCCTGCAAGAGCAGCTCCTCACCGCGGTGTGGCCCCTGGCTGGGTGCTGTGTGGTGAGCTCAGGAACAGCCACTCCAAACCAGGCTGGAGCAGGTCCATGCCCGGAGCAGCACAGGGATGATGCACGTACCTTATGGTGTTCAGCTGGCGGTCTGTCAGGAATGACCAGTGGTACTGGACGGGAATTGGGCTGCAGTTGGTCATGTCCATAAAGAGCACTTGCTCCGTGTCATTAATGATGCAGCCAAAGTCCACGGCCTCGGCCTGGAGATGGAGGTTCGGGAAGTGGACTTCTCCCCGAACAGTGATCTGCTCCTCACCAGGATGCTCCAAGAAGCGAATCCTGAGAACCCTCTCTGCCACCCAGCTATTCCAATTGTTCTCCTGAGCTGGGTTAAACTGGATGCAGAGATGAAGCTCCTCCCCTACATCCAGTCTCATGGGCTGCAAGGACGTGAGCAGTAATTAATCACCTGTGGGATGACGTCCCAACCTCTGACAGCAGAAACAGTAAACGTTCCAAGTGTGACCCCAGCCTGGGTTTCTCAGTTCACCCTCATTTCTTTACAGTGAGGATCTGTCAGCAGCCACCACGCTCTGCTCTGAGATTCCCTCGGGCTCACGTTTCTGTGCTCAGCAGCAATACAAGGGGATGGCTGCTGGAGAGCTGGCATGCTTTCCAGGAGACCCCTTTACTGCATGGCTTGCCTCCATCTGCTTGCCTGCTTCCCTCTCCTCATGTTTTAGAGCTAGCGTGGATGTTACCAGTTCAGGTAAGATTTTGATTCCTTCAGCAGCTTTCCTGCTGCAGCTCAGGCCAATCCACTGCTGACACTACAGAATAAACTTCTCAGCTCAAGCACCTCCCAGCAGAAGCACACCACCTCATCCCTCCTCCTCCAAGCCCACGGAAGAAGCCCACAGAGGCTCACCTTGGAATCTGCAGGGAGGGGCTGCTGGTCTGCATTGCAGATCAGGAACGGCTGCTCCAAGTCCAGCACAATGCTGAATGGCAGGGAGCAGGTGTTCTTTAAAGACAAAGGCTGGTACTGCAGAGTCAGGACATCACTGGGTTTCTACAGAAACGGGAGTTAAGGGAAAACAACCTCAAGTGGCCATAGACCTCCTTCCCCGTCCCATGCATTGCACATTTTTAAACCCCAGAAGTGCATCTATTTCTATTTACTTCCCCCCAATTGAAGAGTTACACCTTTAAATGCCAGGATGCAATCCAGAGACTTACCTTTTCCACACGGAAAGCGATTGCTCTGGAGGACATTTGCACAACAGGGCAAATGAACTTGCAGGTGACATCCACTTGCGTGATCTGTTCCTTTTCCTCCTCTTTCCGCACCAGAACGCGGCACAGCAGCCGCTCCTTCACCTCCTGCATGCACGATTCACTTGTCACCCAGTGCATGCTGGCAGGCCCAACAGCCCACACTGGCTTGGCACCCACCCATGGCCCCTATTCCTGTCACTTATTATTAGGGACTGTCATTAGTCTCTGCTCTCCTCAAAAGCTCTCTTTTCTTTCTGTGCTGCCGCCTATTTAGTCTAAATATCTGTGCCCAGGGCTCCTGGAGCCAGGGAATGCATACCAGACGTAGCTGGCAGCTTCTCTGCAGAGTTTCATTTCCCCTGGAAAGAAAGGTCCAGGTAGGGGAACACTCCCAGACTCTGCTAAAATCTCCCCCTCTGAGTTGCCTCCAAGGGTGTTGCAAAACCTGGCTGCCCCTGGGACACCAGGGCTGGCTGAGAGACTGGAGCAAGCAGTAAGAGAAAAGTTGACCAAAGTCAATTTGTCAATTCTAATGATCCCTGGGAACAGTTTCCTGCCTGGATGGACATCGCTCTGATCATTACAGCTGTGTTTGCACACTGTGTTTTCCTCCTCCAGGACTCATAGCTAGACCCGCCCTCTGCCCATGTTTGTCTTCAGAGGAAAAGCAATGCTGCTCCCAGACACTCCTGCCATTCACAGAGCTTTTGTTTTACTCCCTGCTTCCCTTGGAAAAACCACCTGACAGTAGTTTCATTTGCTTTCTGCCTGGGCTTCTAGTCCAAGTGCAACTTCTTTTCCCTGCTCTTGCTTTCTGCCTCAGCACATGACACCAGTAACCCCTGCCTGCCCAAAGGAGCAATACTTCCTTCAGCCTGTATTTTGGATCAGCAAGTTGGGTTTATGGTAGCTAGGGAAACACAAAAGAGCCTTAGCAACTGATGATGGCCAGCAAGGAAAGCAACTGGCCTTAAAACAGTTTCTGGAAGTCACTTGCTCCTTTTCCCAGGCAAATGTCAAGGGGCTGCAGAAGAAGCTGCAGTGGAAGGGATCTGATAGGGAAGGCTCAGCTCATGTCAGGGGCCTCACCTGGGCAGTGCTGGAGCAGCCTTCCAGCACCATCTCCACAGTCTGGCCTGGCCTCAGGTCCACCTGCAGCGGCCGGACCTTAAACACGGGGCTGCCAGGTCTGGGGATCTGGGAAGCACCTTTCCTTTTGCTGCCACCGCGGGCAGGGGCACGAGTCCTGCGCCGGACGGTGTGGAAACCTTCTGTGCTCCAGCGGAGCCGATACATGCACCGTCCTGTGTTTGTCATTTTGAAATTGAAATAGCAGGGAGTGAAGCTAGAAGAGAAGCACAGATGGAAAATGTCATGGGAGCTGTTATTTCCCTGGCATCACTCAGATTCAGCTTCACCCTGATGGCATTCCCTGACTGCATACTCTGCAATCAAACCTCTGCCCAAAAGTCTGCCCAGGCTCAAAGCTTCAGCCCTGCCAGGTCTTCCAGCTTTTCCATTTCTGTGGCTTGCCAGGATATCTAGCAACTCTCAGATGACTTATTTCTGAAGGAATTCCTGTGCTTTCACGCAAACAGAGCTAGGACCTTGAGTACTGAAGAAGATCTAGCCTGAAGGACTATGGAAAAATTGTTCTTTGATGAACGCCCAGGAGAAGTGGAAGTTCCTAGAGTCTCCTACCTGAAGTGGGACTTGAAATCAACCTCCGGAGGGAGATTGGCTGTGCAAACTGGGATGCCAGTGCCCACAGCCTGGAGAGAGATGACAGTCGTGTTGCTATTCTCAATGGACACCTCTACCTCCCCCTGGAATTTCAGTGTGTCTTTCAGGTGGGCGATGACACGCACAGGCACCTCAGCATTAGGGGGGACCACTCCTTCACTGGGCTCAAGCCTCCAGCAGGAGCGTTTCCCAGCCTGTAAAACAAGCCAAACACAAACTTAGATGGAAGCCGTGGATCCCGCTCTGCTGTGAGGTGCAGGAAACAGGAAGGCTAAGGAGATGAGTGTAAAAACCACAAACATTTAATTTCCCTAAATGTAAGCTATGGTGTCCAGCACAGCAGCTCCCCAAGAGCTTCTACAACCTGTATTTTACCTTCCTTCAACAGAGTCAGGTCATTAGCCCCGTTTTGCTCAACCCAAGGGATGCTCCTCCTCAGGGGAAGGCCATTCCCCCTGCCAGCTCTCTTTGGAGTGCCTGCCAAGGGAAGCTATTTCCTCTGTGCTGGCTCCCCGACAGCGGAGCTGGGTCTGCACGAAGGCTCAAGGACAGAGGAAGGCAGGACTGCTCAAATCCCAGCCCAGCAGCCACACAGCTGGAGGACACTGCTGACAGCCTGAAGAATAACTACAAAGCCAGCTGAGCAAAACCTCAAAGTCTCCTTTCCCAAGGGGCCATCAGCGCTTCTCAACATCCCCTTAAGGCCTGAGGCCCTCGCTTCCCACTGATCATCAGCTGTAGACAAGTGCCCCAGTGCCCTCTGCTTTGGAAAAGACACCTCTACATGGTTAGAGCAGAGCAGGAAAGCAGGCAGCAGAACAAAACCTGCAAGACATGCCCTCTGGGCATGGCATGGCCTTCCTGAGCGGTCTGGTCCTCTGCTTTCTCACGGACCTCCCTTTACAGATGGGGCAAGAGAGCTGCAGGTGTCCCGGGGAGGGAGGAAAGGCCTTGCACCAGCACTGCTGTACAGACACAGCTCTGCAGGTCCGGCCCTGGCAGGAGCATGTGAAACCCATCCTTTACACACCATGACCACCCAGCCAAGGTGCATTGCTCCCTGCAGAGGCTGGAAGCAGAATTCTGTTGTGGAGTCAGGCAAAGCTGCCCTGGCAATCCTCCATTTTGCAGTAATGTTTATCCCCTAAACAGCTGGGAAAGCAGGAAGAGGAAAATTCACCCCACTGCTCCTCAGCCCAGGAGGCTGAGCCTGAACTATCACACAACACCTGATGCTTTATCCACAAATACAAACAAGTCCACAGGCTTGGTTTTAACCAGCTCCAGAAGTTGAACCCACCCAGTATACAGAAGATCAACTCTCCTTTCAAAGCTTTTTTCAAGCCTCTCCCAGATGCCCCATCCAGCAGGGAGCACATCCCACTCAGCCCCAAGCCACGTACCCTTCCTGGCTGCTCCTCCTGCCAGAGGAGCAGCTGCAGCTCCAGCCCTGTGGCTTGTCCCCCTGTGTGACCTCCACGAATGAAACAACCTTCCTCTGCAGGTGGTCTCCAGAGATATTCTGCAATGCTACAGAGACCACAGGCTCTGGGGCTGCACAACGCTCACGGATGCATTTGTTTGCAACAGCCCTACTGGTTTGACCCACAGGAGTGGTGAAAGTTGCCTTGGCACGAGCACTTGGAGGACAGATCTCACCGCCTGGTTTCTGCCATTAACACGAGTTTGGCACAAAGCAAATGCAGATGGAATGGGGAGTGCATGGGGAAATCCATGTCCTCTCAGGAGCAAAGAGCCACAGGCTTCTCCTCAGCTCAGAGCTCCAAAAACATGACTTGCACAGCTGAGTATCTTCCACAAAATAAAGAGAGAACTTGCAAACAGATCCAGACTCATTTCTGCTCCAGCCTCTCTGCAAACTCTTTCACAGAGGCGTGCCTGAGATCCTGGCTCCTCTTGCTTGCACTCGGATGGAATATCTTGCTTCCACTCACACAGAACAATACAGAAACATTGCATACAAAAAACAAGTCAAGGGCTGTTAATAGCCAGCACTCTTCCCTGGAAAACAGCCCCACAGACACTTACCATCTTTTCCTGGAAGCTTGCAGGAATGTCACTCTGATTGGCGAGGCAGACAGTTTTGCAATGATCTTTTAAGACTGGGATAGAGCCAAAGTTAATCTCCGTTGGATAGACATAGACAACGGGTCCCCGGCCAATGCAATTTAAATGGATTTCCTGTTCCGGGAAGAAGGTAGGAAAGCTCAAAAAAAACCATGCAACAAAGGCAGTTTTAAAAACATAGCCAGCACTAAGAGCGTTCCTAGCCTGGGGATAATGATGGCCATTTGAAGTTGTCAGTGATGCAGACTGAAACAGAAGGCCTGGAGCAAGTGCAGGGTCTGCAGTGATCCCACCTGAAAGCCACAAGCTCCCGTTATCATCAGGGGACAAAGAACTGCTGTTTGCCATGCTTGCTTCTTCACACCTCCTCCACATTGCTATTTCCTCCACCTCCTGCCTGCTTTATTCACTGCTCCATCTTGGCCCAAACCACCTTCCTAACTTTTGCTGCTGCACAGCCATCCTTGAACACTAAGTTCTTTAAAATTCAAAAAGCTACACTGCTTGGTGAAACCAGCACAAGTCAGAAGCAAAGCAGGCTCTTCAGAGTAGAGATGAGGCAAGTTAGCTGCCTTCAGTTGGTGCTTATGTGTAATCTTCATATATATGAGTAAGGGGTATTAATTAGTAATTGCATCATTCAAGCAGTAGTTTTTCCTTCAAAAAAGAAGTCTGAACTTACTTAAGAGTAATCTGAAACTCAAAAGGATTCCTCTTGCAAAGCTGGCACAGACAGTGGGACAAGGAAGATGGATCCCTTTGCCAAACTACCCGCTCCCACCAGTGGAAACCTGGAGAGTTTATTGAGTCTTGTTGGATTTCCCTGGTCCTAAATACCCCAACTGTTACAGAGGACTTGAATGCATAAAACTCACAACACCAGTAAGATTCACTGGAGGACTTGGAGTATGATTTGACTACAGAAGAAGCCAGCCTCCATGATGTCAAACCTTTAGTGATGTCTGACTTGAGGGAATGGCATTGACAGCTGCCAGAATGACCTTCAGTCAGAAGGAGCAGCATCCAGAAATAATGCACATCCCTTTGGGACATACATGAGCGTGCAAAGAGACAGAAACCATGTAGCGTGGCTGGTATCTCCACAATAAGGAACTAAAGCCCTGCATGATGATGGATCTTTTATCCCTCTGGGAGAAGGGAGGCCCAGGGGGCTGCAGCCTGGCTGATGCTGCCCAAGGCTCCCTGGAAGAAGTTGTTGGAGGGAGGAGCTCTGCCTCAGCAGCTGGCTTAGCTTCCAGGTGACAGTGGGGCAGAAGCAGCAGAGGCAGGGCAGAGCCCTTTGGAGATGAGCAGAATAGCAGCTGGAGGATGCCTGGCCTGGCTTCAGTTAGTGTGTGAAAATGGGATATATCCTCACTGAGGAAAAGGCTTATAAAACCACACAAACCCTTCACCTGCAGGATTCTTCAAAGGGACAAGAACAGCCCTGCTCACCAGCGTTCCAGGCAATGCGACACACAGGAACGAGAATAAAAGCAACCTTGTCCTCAGTGGTATTGCTACACACACACAGCCACATCCTGCAGCACTGCTGCCTTTGGTGGGGTGCTCCTGTCACAAACCAGCCTGTTTAGGGATGAAGAGCACCCCTGCCTGGCAGACTGGGCCTGTGTTTTGTAGTCACTTTTGCTGTTACGATATGTGCCTCTTTTAGGAGCTCTTTTAGAATCTTCTTTAGAATCTTCAGAGTCCTCTTTTAGGAGGTTTTAGTTCAGAAATTGCTTGCCTTATCACATTTCCAAACTTGCTGGAAAAAACAAGCAAAGTCTGTGCTCCAGATGCAAGTTGTGTGGACATTCCTATAGTTTTGGCTGGCCTTTGTTGAGGAGGTATGATGGGTGGGATCTGAGGGACCTGGCTTTCAGAGAAGCCTCAGTCCAGCTCGGCACAAAACATTCCTTCAGTGTGGTCTGGTACACAGTGCTTGCTTTAGCAGGATTCAGGGATGTCCCTGTGTGATCCTGAACAGCTGTAATGAAGCAGCACTCGTGCTCATCTGATAACACAGCGCAGTGTGAGACCCAGGGGCTGCTCTGGGTTTCAGACTGGGGTTGTTATCCCATTGTTATCCCATCTCCCAGATTTGTAACCATATGCTGGGTCAGGCACTGAGGTTGCCACCTCTGAGGCTTCCACTCTTCCTCTTTTCTAGGCATAAGTTGCTGCTTGTGCCACCAGTCCCTTCTGTCCTTGTCCACAGCAGCCATAGATCACAAGATCCTGGAAGAATCCCTGTGCAGCTTACACCCCACTGGGATGAGTTGCTCAAGGCACACATCTCCCCTCGCTCTCACCAGTGGGGATCCTCTTCTCCCAAACACGGCGAGCTCGGCAGTGATGTCGCACTCTCCCAGCAAGCGGGCCAGGAGTGTAATTAGGATCTCCTTCGACCTGTGAGCCTCGATAATCCCGCTTGCCATAGACTCGCTGTACCATGCAGCGGCTTCCAGACTTCTCTCCTGGAAGGGACAGAATCAAAAGCAACTTCAGAACTGAGGAAACTTTCATCTCCTTAACCTGTGCCCACAAGAGCAACTCCCACACGCTTGGAAAAATTCTCAGCAGAAAGCAAAAAGGCAAAAAACAAGATGCAAGGTGTAGGATGTGATCTGCTTCCATTGGTTGTCCCGTGCTGCCACCCCTTCACGCCCACACCCTTTATAAGTTGAAGCCAGACCCCATTTTCTCTGGCACTTGTCCCTGACTGGTTCCTGGAATAAAACCTCCTTGGACTTCACACAAGTGTCCTCTCCTTTGTCCCTTCCCCTTGGCTCCTTGTAGCACCTCAGTGCGAGCGCTGCCCACGCCGCTGCCCACGCCGCCACCCGGGAGCCTCGGCAGAGACCCGGGGGCAGCCGCTCCGCAGCCCTCACCGCCACACCGGGGGATTGCCCGTAGCCCTCACCGCCACACCGGGGGATTGCCCACAGCCCTCACCGCCACACCGGGGGATTGCCCGTAGCCCTCACCGCCACACCGGGGGATTGCCCGTAGCCCTCACCGCCACACCAGGGGATTGCCCGTAGCCCTCACCGCCACACCGGGGGATTGCCCACAGCCCTCACCGCCACACCGGGGGATTGCCCATAGCCCTCACCGCCACACCGGGGCATTGCCCACAGCCCTCACCGCCACACCGGGGGATTGCCCGCAGCCCTCACCGCCACACCGGGGGATTGCCCACAGCCCTCACCGCCACACCGGGGGATTGCCCGCGGCGCTTCGGCACCCCGTGGCCCCACGGAAGGTGCTACAGAAACCGGCAAGGTCTTACCCAAACCCTTTCATTCCCCTAATAACCCTCTCAGTAACAGCTGAGGGGACGAGATGGATGCAAGGCCAAACCTGAGGGAGAAGACAGTAGCAGCCAGGAAAGTCGCTGTCATTCACAAGGGTCAGCTTCTTCACACAGGGGACCCCTAGAGAGCAGCGGCCGAATGACACCACAGGGTCGAGCACTCGCAGTGGAGGAACGACGCATCTGGGCAAGGAAATGATCCCAAGGGAATTAGAGACTGACACCATGGAGGTAGCAAACCAATGCAGCAGGGTGCTCACAAGCCAGCACATGTTCACCACTTGCAGGAAGAAGGACAGGCAACCCTTGGGAGGTTTGTTCCATCTCAAGAACCATATCCCAGGGCAATGATTAATTTATTCCTGCTCCCTCCAGAGAAAGGCCTAGGGCCATGCCTGGCTGTGAGCAGGGAGCATCTCACCATGGGCTGCTTTCTTAGCACGCTGCTCATGTCTAGATGGGCAGATCCAGCTCATGAAGCAACACTCCTCCTCTGGAACTGCAGCCAGGCAGCGTGCTTGGATGCACGAGGAAAGACAAGCAGGTGCAGGAAAAGTGTTGGTACCTGGCTGTGAGGGGCAGTGCAAACGCCGCCTTGGCAACATCATCCACCTCCAGCACCAGCTCCAGCTCGTAGTCTCCAACGGTGTTGGAACACAGGGTGACCTGGTACAAGAGAAAAGAAGTGTAGCAAGTATTTGCTCACTCCCAAAATCTCATCACCCATGGCTGCTGTCCTCCAATTCTTCTTCCATGGTAGACAAAGGGAGGATTTTGCTGTAATTCTTCTGCTGGTCCATAAGTAGAGCACAGTCTTTGGGAGTAAAAAAAGCCCTCTGGCAAGATCAGATTTGATATAGGGACTAATTTTTCACCTGACTACAATGACATAAATGCAGAAGAAGTCTGTTGTCTTGAATGGAATGAGTCCAGCTTTACAGCAGGAATACAGCAGTGAATACAACTCATCTGTACAGTGAATAAAACTCATCTGCTGCCCAGGAGACGAGAAACGAGACCAGGAAAAAAAAGAAAACTGCTTTCTACAATCATATCTCTCTTTAACGCAACCTTGTTTCCTTCCCCTGCCCACTTGCAATCAAAGAAATCGCTCTCAAAAAGCACAAGAATGGCTTCAGTACTTGACCATATGGTATGTGATCTCAGCTTGTGATTTTGGAAACAAAACAGTGCTCCTTGAGGAACATCCCGAGGAAGCCAGTTAGCAGAGGCCTCTCACCAGTGCAGATCTCTCACTCACACAGGGCTCCAAGTGCTCAAAGCTAGCACCTGAGCTAAAGCCCTCCCACACTCCAGGGAAGCTTCAGCCCCACCCACCAGACTCTTCCCATACCTTGATATCCTGGGCTCCCAGGGCACGGATGCTCCCGCTGCAGGGGCTTATGGAAAATTCCCTTGGCCTTATAGGAACTTGAGCTTCCTTCCTCCAAACCTGGCTACTGGGATTGGGTATCTTCACAGAGACGTCAACGCTGGGCTCTCCCCTGCCATCCCCAGGAATGCTGAGCTTGAAGACCATGGGTATCAGGGAGGTGTTAGACAGGCGACACTTCAAGGTGCGAGGAAAACCTAAGAAAATGACACAAATATCCACTTAGCCATCAATATAGCATGATTCCTGGTGTGAATATCCTGGTGGGAGAAAACTGTGCTTGGATTTTGCTTCTTTGTTATCCAAACTACAGCTCATTGCAGCGGATCTATGGCTTGGCCGGCCAGCTCTGTGTGAAGGAGACATCTCCCACAGCCTGCTTACCAAGAGTCGTTTAAACCCAGATGAGGAGGAAAAACCAACTGCAGGCACAGCCCAGGGCTTCTCCATGCCCATCAACAGTGATCACTGCCAGCTCCGACAGTGACTCCAGCAGGGAGGCAAGAGAGGCACGAAAAGGACAAGCGGCACAAAACAGGCACGAGGGAGGCACAAAAAGGATGGCACAATCTCAAATGCCACCGAGGTGACCACATGCAGACAACATTCAGCAGCACAGTTAAAATAAACAAAGATAAAACAGCTGCTCCCAGCTGAAGAAACCTTAGGAATTAAATCAGATTAAGCAGGATGAATCTGCTCTTACAGAGCCATATTCCTGCCTGGTGCCTTTCTTTACTGTGCCACTTACTCAAAGGGAGACAAGAGGTGGCCAAACAGTGATGCTGACTTTTAATTCCTTTGGTCCCGTTTGCTCTCATGACAGCAAAAGGGTACCTGAGGCACCAGCAGCCCTGGAAGTAACACCCTGAAGAGGCTGTGGTGGAGGAACACGAGTGATGAATGCTCTTATGTTCAAGTGCTCCATTTCAGCACCACACCAACCTCTGACACTGTGTTGCGAGCCCAGGGCACACTCACCACAGGAGACGTCACCGAAGTGCAGGGCGGGCACATCAAAATGAAAAGTCGGTCCCATCACGGAGCCCCTGCGAGGACAAAGGCAGGGAGGCAATGCCTCTGTTAAAGGGAATCACAAAGGCTTCGGCTGGCCTTAGGGAGGGGCAGGATAATAGCTGCTGGCAGAGCCACCCTGGGTTTCAAATCAACCCAGCACCCTGCGCTCAGCACAGCACCCATGTGGACAGGAGGCAGCCAAAGTGGTCACAGCAGCTGACAGACTATCTGGGACAGGCCTTGGAGCTGAAGTGAGTTTTACTTCTCCTGTCATCAGTTTTCTTCCTTTTTTCCCACCTCTGGCCTCTGCTGAGTGAGGATTTTATCCCTTGCCATGGGATGACACCCCTATCCTTGGGACAGTTCCTGCTGCACAGTTCCCTGTCTCCCACATCAGCCCTCTCCTGGCTGTGGAAAGGAGCTCCCAGGGCACTCTCTGCACAGGAGCTGAGAGCACGGCTCGTGCCCCACAGCATGGCTGTGAGAGCTGAGGTGAGGCTGCTGCTGATGCCCATCTGGGATGGATTATTAACAGAAGTTTTTAAAAACACTGCTGCTGGTGCAGAATCACCCAGGCTGGCCCATCTCCAAAGCCCTGGGGGCCTTGCTGGCTGTTCAGGGGGACATCCCAGAGCAGCTACTGCCCAAAGCTGATCCATCCCACTGCCTGCCACAGCCTAAGCAGCAGACACCCCTGCAGGGAGGAGTCACTCATCTCCTGGCTACCCACACAGGGCAGCAGGCACGCCCACACTAACCAGATTCCAGAGCCAAGACTAAGACCTCAGGCAACACCTTTTTTCTCTGCTTCCCCACAAAATGAAGTAGATGGAAGGGGATTACCAAGACACAGCTACAGATGTGCCCAGCAAGCTCCCAAAGCCCTCCTCACCTGATAGTCAAGGTCACAGGCTTAGGGGATTTATGCACATGGAAGCAGAATTGTTCCTCAAACTCCCCCAGCATGGTGGGACAGAAGGAGATTCGGATGACCTGGAGCCCGTGTGGTGCCACGATGCCCTCCTGGGGCAGGAAGGTGAAGAAGGAGCCCATGGCTGTGCTTGGAGGGATGAGGCTGAAGGAAGCCTCAATGGGCCCTTTGTTCAACAGGACTGCCTGCAGCAGTAGAAAAGCGAAGTGGAAATACATGAGGAATCTTCCTTTCTTACCGCAGTCTGAGTCACTTCCAAATTAAACCATTAACACCGGTAAAAGGCAGAAGATGCCCTGTGCTGCTGCATGGCAGAGGCCAAAAAATACAATTTTGTATGGCTTTGGGGTTTTCATGCAAAGCAGTGATAACTTCACATAACCAGAGTCACTCTGGGGTTTTCCCACTGGCACTGACAGTCCACTCTGACCTGCAGCACAGAGGAGCTGCTCAGCATCACCAAGTTCAGTCACAGCTGGCCCTCAGAGCAGCACTGGGCATGGCAGCATTACCAGTGACACCAGCACAGAGCTGCTGCTGCTGCTGCTGCTGCTGCTCCAAGTGTGCCCAGCCCCACCATGGGCAGGGCACATTCAGCTTCCATTGCAGCCCAACCTGTTCACTGCATGTAGGAGAAACCAGAAGCAAAGATGTAGAAAGTTCTTTGCTTCCTTCCCAGAAACACTTTGCTCTTTCTAGAGCCAGAGGTACACCATGACTGAAGTGTGGTGAGGGACTGCTCAGCAAAGGAAAGCACTGCCAAGCACTTTGACCAGTGCTGAGGCAGGCAGGTGGATTTGTGACTCCCACAAAGAGGCAGGAGGGACATGACTGAAAACTGTTTGCAATGCACTTGAACTCAAATGCAGCCAGTTTGTTCCAGCTCCTTTTGGACAGCCTGAGCACAAAGGTGATTTGTGGCTGGGACTTGGACATGCAGCTTTTTGACCCAGTGCTGCTTTCATGTGTCAGGCGGTTTTGCAGGAAGCCTCCCAGCTGACCTCCAAGGAAGACTGCCCAAAAGAAGGGATTGGGCTTTCACGAACAACAGACACACCTTTCCGACCCCATCCAAAAGATCGAGATTCCAAGAAACCCCCCACATTTGACCAGGATCACAACTACCCAAGTTGCCAGGAGCTACCAGGAGCCCACTGGTACCTGATACCCCAGGAGCCACCAGGATCCACCTCAAGGCTGCTGCTCACCTTGTATCTGTGGGTTACTCTGATAGAAACCTCCCCAATGTTCAGTTCCTCAAAGTAGGAGTGGAGCTGGGGCCCGAGGCCTTCCCCTGTGAGGAACAGGGGCAGCCTGTTCTCACGGCCTGGGGAGAGAATTCTATTTCAGTACAGTAATTCCTTCTGCTATCCTGCATTTTCCAGGCTGCCTCAGTGCTAGTCCCTGACTCTGAGCTGCATGGGACCAGCTCCTGATGTCCCAGGAGAAGATCCAGACCCTTCTCTTCCCTCAGGAAATATGGTACATCCATAGAGACCATCCATTCTTCTACCCCTATGTTGAGAGTGGAACTTTAGGAAATGCCAGAAATTTTCTGCTTCCTCCTTCTGGGTGCACCTCAGAGAGTGTTGTTCCCAAGGGAGGAGGAGCACACTAAATACAGGCAGCATTCAGAACAGCTGAGAGGGAAAAAATCAAAATAGAGGAGATGCCCTGGAAGCTGCAGGGACAGTGGGCATGTGCCAGCACTGCCCTGCTGCCCACGGACCCTTGGCAGCAATGACACAGGAGCCCAGTGATCTGGGGGAGTATTTGCACCTCGCTTTCACTGCGCTGAGAGAGGCAGCGGAAGGAGCCGTACCTGAGATGTCGCAGTAAACCGCTTGCTCATAGACCCGGGCTTCCTGGGGCTTGAAGAACACGCTGATCTCAGCCCAAAAATTCGGCCTGATCTCGCCCTCCTAAAGCAGAAGGAGACAGCAAAACATTTCTCTTTAGCCCTCACATTTCTTGGTTTCAACCACAGTCCTGTAAGCCATTCTTTAGAGCATCAGGGACAGGCAAGGAGTGAGTAACTCTCATCAATAACACTGAGAACAGAGTTTGGAAGCTTTAGTCAGGCTCCTGCTGCCTGCCAGGAGCCCACAGGGCAGAAATGCTTTTTGCAACCAGCTCTCTGACCTCCCCAGAATGCAGATTACTTCTCTCTTGGCACACAAAGCCAGCTGAGGCAGGGATCAGTCAAGTGATCTTATTCAGGGACGAGGAGGAAGAGGAGGAAGAGGAGGAAGAGAAGCAGGAAGGGAGATTCTCAGCCATCCCCTACCTTCGGCTCAAGGGAGAAAATGCCATCAGAGAGCACCATGGGATCTTCTCTGACCTTTGCCATCTCATTCTGGAGGCTGTGGGTGAGAAGAGCAAAGCGTTCTCGGTGAGTACTGTCCACTCCCCACTCCTTCAGAAAATCATAAAACTTCTCCTTTTGCTGCTGATACATCCTGTGATACTGCCTACAGCCACAGGAAAGACAAACCCAGCAAGTTGTTTAACAAGCCATGGCTTTGCAGAGAGAAGTGGAAGTGCCGCGAGCAGCTCCTCAGCAAAGGGCTGACCCTGAGCCATGGGGTCCCAAATGGATCAGAGGGTCACTTGTTGTTCAGTCCACACTTGCAGGCTCAGGAGAGGTTTCCAAAGGCAGCAGCCCTCAAGAAAACCTCCTGGCTCAAAGCCTCCATCACAGCTGAGGGAGAATCCACTAGCCACCTCAGGCAGCTTCTCCTGACACACAACTGCTTGGGGGAGGCAGGTGGAGATAGGATGCTTTACTTACCCTGAGCCATTCAAAAGCACCCTGCATCCTCCTGAAATCTCCTGAAGCTGTATGCTACTTTTACCCTTGGGCAAGGGATGTCACTGAAATGGATCTTTCAAACCTACCTCAGCTCCAGCTGATCCTCCTCTTGCCCACTGTCAACAGCCTTCCACTGGAAGCAGGCTGTGATGTCACTCATGTTGTGGATGCGCACAGCTGTGCGGTTTGACAGGCTGACGTACGTCTTCTCAAAGCTCACAGTATACTTGTCCAGCCTGATGTGGGCATCCGCAGCTCTTCCATGAAGGCTTGTGTGGGTGTCTTCACCTGGAACAAAGCAAAGGGGAGTCTTTGCTCAGCTCGCTGGTTGATGGAAGCACAAGAACACAGCGAACCACAGGTAATAGGAAAAAACTGTCACAGCTTTTAGCTGAATGAGCAGTTCCATGGATCAGTACATTTATCACAAGCTGAGAGCTGCATCTGCACAGCAGGAGGAAGTCCTGAACAACCTGCCAGCATTTCAGCCTCTAGAACAGACCCCTACCAAAGGCTCTCTCGTTTCCAGAGCTTTCAAACCTTCATTATTCTCAACCAACTCCTGGGATTCATCTGGCTCAGACTTCAAGCTCACCATTCCTGTTGCAGATGAGTAGCTGAGTGTTTCCCAGGCCAGATGCAAATTACAAGTATCAGACATGCTCTCTAGAAATGGCATTACTATGGAGCTCTACAAAGATCAAGATGACAAACTACATGACTACAAACTAGATGGCTACAAAAGGAACACCATGAAAACTATCATCATCTCCCTCTTTAAACCCATGGCCACAGCAGCCTTTCTGCTTAGAAAGGGCTCTGCTCTGAGGGATGCAGAGAGTGCCCTCGGCAGTGCCCAGATCTCACCTGTGTCGTAGTGCACCACAAGGGATGCGGAAAAGTCACCGGTCTTCAGTGGCTGAAATCCCACTGTCACCTGCGTGGCGTCACCGATGCCCAGAGCTCCCATGGCCGGAAGGACAGAGAAAGGGCTGCAACACAGAGACAGCAGGACTCTTGGGGACATTTGGGGATGTTATCCCTTCTGCAGTCCCCTTCACTTCTGTTCACTTGTGCAAGCAAAGAGCAAACCAGCCACAGTCAGCAGAAGACAGAACAGACGGGGTCAGAAACAGCCACTGACTCCAGTGTGAGGAGATCCAGCCCTCACAAGATCCTCTGGGATGAAATGACCTCATCTCCCTCATACTCTGCATCCAGCTCTCTGCAATGAGGTTCAAGGGTCATTTGCATCTTGCTTACTTTCATCAAGCATCAGCTCCCCTTACTGACAGAGCTGGACAAAAGTTATGGCCATGAGGATACCAAGGACCAAGCTGACAATTTTGTGACCAAGGCTCTCAAAGCACCATTCAGCTGCACTTTTGGTAAATGCTGTGTGCAAGGAGGCGGCAATCTACTTCAAGTCCCGTGGTACAGTTATCTGCTCTAGCCAGATGTTCTTTTGTCCACTGCTGCCTTAACTGCCATGATTAAATAATTTGATTTGGGGAGAATTGATCTCATTAAAAGCTGCCTCCCACCCCAAGGAAGACTGAAAAGTTATGGCTAATTGAATTGCCTCATCTGTTCACTTACACCTATTGCAGGAAGAACCCCAAATATCATCTCATATTAATATATATGACTTTCAAGTGATGGTGTTACAGCTGATGTCAAACAGCATTGACTATTCTAATAAATCCAGTCTGTTAGATTAAAGCAGCTCCATCTCTGTGCTGAAAAATACAGTCAGCAGATCACAAGCTCCATCTTTCCCTCTGTCACTGCACCCAGGCTCTATTTAATCTGCTTCAATATTTCATTCCTCAAGTTCAGAAACTCTTTAAATCCCTATCAAGCAGGATCCAACATGATCTGTAGCACTCAATAGAACAGCTGGCAAGCACATTGTAAAAGGATACCAGACTTTATTGGGTATTTCTCTTGGTGGTGACAAAACAAGAGCTGGAAATCCCAGAGAAAAACTGTGCACAGATTTACAAGTTCCTGCCTACATATTTGCAGAGTCAAAAGCAGCAGCCTGTTTGAACAGCATCCCAGCAGCCTGCTTCAATAGCTTTGGCAGGCTTTGGTGGAAGCTCCTCTCAGACCCTCACGTTTCACAGCAGAAAAGTCAATTTACCTTTTGACCTCTGTTTTGCCAGGGGAAAAAAAAAAATCAAAGCTACTCAGCTGCCTCAGCTTAGACAGCAGGTCTGTGCTGCATTCCTGACCTCAGCTCCTACAGCAAGACCTCCGGGATCACAGAACCCTCAATTCACCACCAGCCAACTGAACTGGTTTCCTTGCAGATACAGTGTCAAAAATGCATCACCTTCTCCAGTTCAGCCAACAGGAGAAACACTGATTGTCTTCTGAGACTGACAGGAATAGCACAGGCTGTCTGCAGCACAGCTGACATGAGGCATCTCATGAGAGGACCACCCGAAAGCCACGTGCCTGTGGCCGCCCAGAGAATGGGTCTATTTGGCTGACAGTGGTGCGTAAGCATTTCAGAAGCTGCTTCTGCTCAGGAGGGTGCAAGCCAGATACTAACATGTTCCAGCACCCTCCAGGAAATCTGGGACAGAGAAAGATCAAAGGCTGCATCCTGTTGAAAACATGAGAAGCAACAGCAAACCCCACACGTCCTGCCCATTTCCAGCCATGCTGCAGGGCAGCAGCTGCCATGCTCTCCTTCCTTTTGCTGCTCTTTCCCAACTCTGTTATCATTCAAGGGTGAGATCCTTTGCCCAAGGATAGATGAGCTGCCTCACCTCTGGGTGCTCAGCTGGTAATGAGCTGCCCGGTTACCCACATTGCGAACCAGCAGGGTTTTCTCGCTGCTGTACTTGACCGGACACTTGGAGAAGTCCAGCTCATCAGGGAAGTCCAGGATGGCTCGGGCACCAATGGCCCGAATTGGCACAATGAGCCCTTCCCTTTCAGTGGTGCAGAGGAGCTGGTGGAAGTAATCCTGCAGGAAAAGAAACGGTCTCAGCACAGGGCATTTATCCCCATGTTCAGCATGGACAAAGAGTATCTCCCAGTTCTAGATCCTGTGCAACTCCATGGAAACCAGCACAGGTCCTCAAAACCCAGGCCAGATGCCCTGAATCCAGCCTTGCAGGTTCATTTCCACTGAAGACATCAATCTTTTGGCACCTCCAGACTCACCTTGTTCTGTTCAGGGCTGAAGAGGATGCGGACAGTGACAGAGAGGCCTGGTGGCACCTTGCGGTACACGTCATTGGGGCCCACCAGCTGGAAATAAGGTGAGCTCTCCAAGGTGACCTTCATCATGCGAGGAACCTGAAGGAGAGACACGGAACGATGCTTTTGCCACTTGCAGAGACAGGTGGGCATGCCCTGGTGCCATCCTTAACCACCCTTCTCCGCTCTCCTCTTCCAGCACAGCGTTAAACCTCCATGTCCCTGAACTTACCTTGTCCCTGTTCCTCAGAACCACGGGCACTTCACAGACCTCACCAGGAGTGTAGTTCTGAAATACCACCTCTGGTGGGCAAGGTTGAAATGAGCTCTGCTCTGGGACAGGTGCCGAGAGCTGCAAGGAGAGGCAAGAGAGAGCAGGGAGAGGTTCAGCTGCTGGGCGGAAGATTCTGCTCTGATCCCCAGTCAAGTACAGACTCTGGGTGAGTACATCTGCCCCACCCACACCGGACAAACAGCGGCGCTTCCACCTCTGCCCTGGGCTGATCAAAAGTTCCTGGAGCACACTGAGCAGGCTCATGCCAAGCTGCTCTTTTGGCATCCTCCTCAATGATCACATCAAACAGCAAGGGCAAGGAAAGGCTACCTTGTGATGGGAGGTCTCATGCTTGTCTTGAGGCTGGACAATTAGAGGCAGACTCAGATTCTTAGCTCTGGCCAGCAGCTGCTTGGTGCTGAGAGACATCTCCTTCCGGAAAGCAGAGGGAGTCAGCTGAAAGGCAAAAAACCAGCAAGAGTCTCAGAAATTCCTTTGTTTATAGAGGCTTTTCTTGCACTTACAACCGATGCATAATTTGTGATCACGATGAACTAGGACAGTTCTGGAAGCCCTGGAAGTTACCTGCTGAAATACTTAGCACCAATAAATTAATAATACAGAGGGCAATACACATACTCCAACCACACGGCTGTGTCCCATTGGTCTCTGCATGATTTGATGTGACATGTTTGGGGACTTCTGCTCTTTGGGCATTTGTTTCCTCACTGGAGTGAGGCAGTGACCTTTTCAGAGAGTGGGGATGAGCTCTCAGAACTCCCCTAACTCCGTCCCTGCACAACACTCAAAGCTCACAGCGAGGAGGTAGCACTGCTGGGCGAGTCCAAGAGACACAAGAAAGCAAAGTTGTACCAAGAGTGAGGTGCACATGAATGTGTCCAAGTTTTCATTCTCTCTGCTCATTAGCATTTGTTTTCTCTCTCTGGGCTCAGAGGCCTCTCCACAGAAGAAAACAGAGGGATCTCCTTGACAGAGCCTCAGCAGTGGGGCATCTTCACTCCAGTGAGCTCAGACGCCAAGGAAACCTCTGTGGCCTGACTCCAGTGCTGCCTGCAGGGCTGGATCTGCACCCACACAGGAGATGAGAGAGAACAGCTGGCTTGGAAGCTCTCCCAGCTGGGACCAGCCGTGTCTCTCAAGGCTTTGGGCAGAGTTTGAGCTTCCCCCCCCCCATTCCCAGGTACCCAAGGGCAGGTTGGTCAGAGCAGCACAGGTGAGTGTCCAGCCTGACAGAAGGAATTGCTGTGGCAAAGGGAAAGGGAAAGAAGCACTTGTTCAGGGTTTCAGCTGCACATTGGTTTCACTTGGCTCCAGTGGCACAGCCAGGCAGGATGCGGGACTGTCCCTCAAACATCACACAGCCTTCCCTACTGCACCAGACAGCCCCACCAAGAGCCAGGAGCAGGGCACAAAGAGGTGGGGAGGGGGTCTGCAGCTTCACAGCGCTGCTGACAACAGGGGCAGGGAAAGGAGGGACACGAGGGGAGTTTCCAGCCTTAACACAGCCCCAGTGGCTACTCACAGTGTCAGGCTTCAGTCTTTCCCTGAGCAGAAAACGAGGTGCTGGTGTCTTTTTCAGGAATCCAGAAGCCATTTTGGAAGGAGAATATCCCAGGTGAGCAACAATGCCTCAACAAAACTGGAAGGAGCAACAAAGGAACTCTGAAAATCCAGAACCCAATTCGTGGCAGACTCAAGGGATACACTGGTGCTAAAATTTTATTTGATTTGAAAGTAGCTAAATGCTCATTTGGCATAAGTAGCTAGTATTGTTAGGCCTCTAGCTGGACTTTATTGAACTATATGGCTATGCTGTACAATTCAAAGATGGATCATACTGAAACCTGGAGCTAAAAAGCTGAATATTAATAACAGTTAGTACAGACAAAGATGTCGCTTCAATATTACTTAAAAATAGCTTGAGTGGACCTCCTCTTCCTTAGGCTAAACAAGCCCTGCTCTCTCAGCTGCTCCTCACAGGACTTGTGAGAGACTGGAATGTTATGGCTAATGGCTTAAATACTGTGATAAAGGATTTTTTGCCCATTGTGACAAAACTGAATAAAGAAGCTGAGACCATCCAAGCCCACCGTGCCCTGAAAATGCCTCCTGACTGGAACTTGGGACTGTGAGTTAAGCTGCCTAAGGGAACTTAAGACAAGATAAAGGTGTGGGGAGAAGTGAACAAGGCAGAGGGAGAAAACTATATCCACAACAAAACCAAACCCAGCAGCTGTCCTGAAAATCAGCTCTGTCTGCCTTCAGGCTGGGGAAGTCATAGCCACAGACTCAACTGCTGAGGCCAGGTTTGCACACAGACCTCCCATCAACAGAGGGGAAGGAGGAAATTTTGGGTGTGCGGCATCACCTCTGGTAAGGGGCAGTGGACACCCATCCTCCCTCACACAAAGTGGCTCAGCTCTAAAACCCCCCAGCCCCAGAAGGCCACATCCAGGGCACATTCCCACGAGGGGCAGCTCAGGGGGTGTCATAACCCATCAAAGACCTCCAAAGTGCCCCCAGACCCGTCCCTGAGGCCTTGCACCAGATGACTGCATGGCACGCCACGTAACACAACAGACCTGAAAATCCACAACCCAATTCGTGGCAGACCCAAAGGATATACTGGTGCTCAGGATTTGATATTACTGAAAAGTAGCACGAGACAGAGTCCAACTTGCCCAACCCAGAGAGGTACCTGGGCAGTCCCACCTTGCCCAAATCTGCATTAATCCCCTAGAGTCTTACAAAACGTTTTGTGAGACCTCACCACAAAGAAGACCACAAGAGGATTTAATGGGATGGGATAAGATCCATGGAATGGTGATAATTTTCTACTAAATCTGTCTCTGTCACTCTCTTCTCCCCTTCCCAGGCCCTCCCTTCCCGCCTCCTTTTTCTATTTCTTTCTCTCTCTCTCTCTCTCTTCCTCACATTTATTGTTACATAACATCCAAACTATCGACTTTGACGTATGGCCTCATTTTGCACCTTAATTCAGGGGCATCTCCCTAATCATTTGAAGAACCAGATCATAACAACCCACCAAAACTTGAGCAGAACTCATTCACCATTAAGCAGCTGAAGTAAATACTATAGGGGAAAATGGATAGACTAGTATATTAAGGAAATGTTCCATTTCTTCAGTGAGGAAAAAGCACCATCAGTAGACTATATCTTGTTCATCCCCTCAGCTGTACATGCCATCGAACTGAAGACTGGCATTCTCCCATCCTGTATTTCCCTGTGGCATTCTCTTTTAGAGCACAGATGTGACAAAACCAGAAAGTACAGCTTGAGGCAATCTTTACCTTCAACTGGAATTGAGGAGTCCTTCGCAGAGACCAATGCTTTGCGAGTTCAGGACTCGCTGGCACGGAGCAATTCTCGGCGAACAATTCGCTCGGAGAATCGCCGAGTGCAGCCGCCTGAAGGCGCCGGGGCTGTGAACGAGCAGCCAGGGGCGAGTTCTGGGCAGCTGAGGCCGCAGCGCCGTCACAGACGCTGCGGGCCCGTCCCGGTTACCCGGCAACCGCGGAACCCACTGCGGGGCCGGGCCGGGCCGGGCCGGGCCGGGGCCGATCTTGGGGCCGGGGCCGAGCTGGGCCGGGCCGGGGCCGGGGCGGTGGCGCCGGGCGGGCCTCGGTCCCGCCTCGGTCCCGCCTCGCTGCCCCCTCGAGCCGCCCTCGATCTGCCCCAGGCCCCGCTCGCTCCCCGCCTGTTCCAGCCCTGGTGCCCCCGCGGTCCCCGGGCACAGCGGGAGCGATTCTCTCCCGGGCCCGGAACGGGACGGCCCCGGCGGCAGCGCTCGATATCGCCGGAGCCTCGGCCGCAGCTCCGGCTGCTCCTCCACAGCGGGAACAGCCGGGGGCTCACAGCTCGTGTTCAGCGCACTGCGCCAGGGGCGCTCAGCCAGCCGCAGGTCCTGGGCGCTGGCGCTCGGCTTCTCGTTCTTCCCAGGGACACACGGGGAGCAAAGGCATTCCCTGCTGTCATGGGTCCTCACCTCATCTGCAGCCAGGAATTAGTGCTCCAGAAGACTGACATTATTACATCCTGCCTTTTTCTTTGGCATTCTCTTTCACAATACAGATGTGCTAAAAGAAAAAAAAAAATACAGTATACAGTATTTATCAACCTCTATCTTCGAATGAAATGCAAGACTGATTTTCAGCTGTATTCCCAGCACTGTAATAAAAACACACTAGAACCATAATTGTTGCAAGTTTCCTGCTTACAGTAAACTTGAGATTTTAATATTCTTTCCACACTTGTAATCTATATTATGCTTTAGGTTTTAGCTTTTACGTTTTTCAGATACTGTGCTGCTTTAGTGTGTAGTTCTGAGCTTCCTATTAGGGAATGGTGAGCTCTTCACAGAGCAGGCAGACAAAACAATTCCTTCTCTAGCTGGGGACCAAGGACAAATGATCCAAATCTCAGGCCCAAGAGCACAAACAATGGTGGGCTGAAGAGAGAAAAACAAGAAGGGTGGGACTTCATAAGCTGAAGCTGGAATTGAACAAATCACTCCAATGTGCAGATGGGCCAGAACTGATCAAAGTGAGAGACTTTGTGACCGGTCGTCCATTCTGGGACCGTTCTGGGTCCATCTTGGGTGTAGGCCTGGCTGGGCTCTTGTGCTGCCCAAGGTGGATCCATTGAGGCCTTTTAGCAAATCCCTGTTTTATTCTGTAACTCTGTCCAGGCTCTGTTCTAGGGCAGCCTTCTCAAGGCACCAGCAGCAGTACAGCTGCAAGGAATCCAGTGTGTGCTCTCCTGTGGTGGTGGCAGAGGCCGAGCTGGGTTTGGCAGTGCTGCTGTGGTTGAAAGCAGAGCAGTGGGGCACTTACACAAAGCACTGAGCACACCAGGTCATGCTTGGGGGTTGCTGGGCAGGTTTGGAATGCAGTTCAAGCTGAGCTTTGTGTACCTCTACAGAGTTACCCCTTTGCACTCTAAGGCGCTGAGAGGAACCAGTTCTCCAGCCAGGCTGAAGAGCCACAGGCCCTGGGATAGCAGAAGAGCACCCAGGAGTGTTGGAAGAGAAGGAACAGGTCCCTAGATGGTTTTTCTTCCATTCCCCTGAGCAGATGCTGCCAAATCCATGCCTTCACTGCTCCCCTCAGCCTGGCAGGGAGGGTGATTGGGCTCTAACAGGATGGGCTGTGTCAGACTGCTGCTACCAAGGTGGGGGCTCCAAGCTGTGTCTCGTGCAGAGAAGCTCAGAAGAGGCAGAAGAAAAGGCAGCAGGAATCATGTCAGCCTGTCAGAGCCCAGCCTTCATGCAAAACAAGATCCAAGATGATCAAAGCTGAGTGACCCAAAAAAACTCTGCCTCAACTGTTGTACAGGGCCTGACAGTTATGGACAAGACCTGCTTTAATGGAATAAAGCCACTGCAGAGGGGAGAAGGAAATGAAGAGAAAATTACCATGTGAAGAACTTATATCTTATTCTGACACTTTCTTTTTCCATGTAATTATTAACCTGTGTTTTTAAAGTCCATTAAAATTCCATTCAGATGAACTATAAGAACAGGACTAAGGGTTATGCATTGAAAGATCCTGTGTTGACAATGAGTTTTAGGCAGTAACCCTAATCAAGGCTAATGCCATTTCAGCGTCTCATCTTGGGTCCTCATTTTGTGTCTTAAGCAAGCCTGGCATTTTTAGTCCTTTTTTTTTTTCCCCAAGTAATCTGTTTATTTGTGATATGTGCTCCAGACTAATTATTTGGGCTTATCCAATGTTTAAATAACTTCTCTGGTAAAACTTCATAAAATATTTATTGATAAATGTAAAGTACCCAAGATTTAAAAGTATTTTTGCATGGTTTTGTTTCAAAGCAACAGCTCTTTATGTGGGCCTTCATACCAAGTTCTCAGTAATTTAAGTACTTGATTGTTTTCTTTGTGCTGTAGAAAAGTCTATGGGAAGTTAATTCTATTTCTAGGAATCACAACAATTGTTAATTTTTTTGTTTTAATATCTACAAGATCCCATTATGCTGTGCATGTGTACATTACCCTGTATGAATTCTGGCTCATTAAATGGGGTTTATTACTGCATGATTTCCACCATAAGCCTCCTGATTCAGCTGCATAATACATCCTACTTAGATAATCTATTTTCCTGTACCACTGCTGTGCCCTCCTGACATTATTTAGCCTCATATCTTTAGTACTTTCAGCTGGCCACTGATACTCCCCCAAATGCAGATATAACCCCAATATTTGTAGTTTAATCTTGTGGAGGAGGAGGAAGGAGAGGGTGAATGGGAGAGTTCTCAGAGTTGTCGAAAGTCAGAGTGTGAAATCTGCAGAGTCCTTCCTTTTCTGGTAAAAATTCAAATCCTGCCATCAAAATGCTGATCTGACAAACTTGGTTAGATGATTAATTCTAATTAGGTAAGTGACCTCACTGGCTGTGTTACATTGCTTTGCAATTTAAGGAAAGATTAAAAGATTTGGTCATTAGGAAGGGGGATAAAAATTGCTGCACTTAATTGAAAATGCAGGGATCACCAGAATGACAGAATGGTCTAGCTTTTGTATCTAAAGCAGACTCTGAGAAAATTGATGTGTTATTGACCATATTTTCTATGAGTAAACTTGTGGATTTCCTATACTTGTGTCACAATGTAGTTTGCATACAACACCATCAATTGGATGGAAAGGCAGAGTTAGGTCGCTTTTAACTCCATTTTCAGAGCTAGACAAAATAAAAGAAACAGTTGTCTTTGCTTTAATATAGGCAAAAATTTATGCTCTGCCAGAAGAAAAACCAGTGAATCTTCTGTGCCGATACAATTTGTATTAATATATATATATAATTAGCATTATATATACTTGCTTCTCACTCTGAATTGTACAGGAGTTTCTCAGGTTCTGTGTTGGATAGGAAGGCCTGGGGACTGGCCAGGTTTTATCAGCTTGGTGGACCTGGCCAGAACAGTGAGTTACAGGGGGACTCTCAGGGAACTGTCGGAAAGTGTCCCCTGGTGCAAAAGGGGATTTTCCAAGGTTGTGTGGGTGAAAGGCACTTTCCATCTCCCTCTGGTAATTCCTTTTTTGACTGGATATTAATACTCAGCCTCCTTGGAGCTGTATGTTCTTTGGAATGGAAGTCACCCCTCCAGGCTGACATGGGATGTGTTCCTAGGCAAATACGTTGGGAATGAGATTTTTGGGGGCCTCAAGACAGTGTGAGAGTGATATGTGAGGCAAAAATATACAGATGGTCATAATCTCCTATATCCACCTGATTTATTCTTTTTTTAATCACAGTACATTCTGATTATAGCTTTGACTTTGCTCTGCCTTTGCTACTGTTTTCCACTGCATATCAAAAAAACTTTTGTCTGTTCTAAGAAATATTAAGCAATGGTCTAAGCTGCTCATCTGCTAAAAGCTACCCATATTTATCCACCTCTGTTGTTTACTGTCATTACTAGCAATTGCATTTCACAACCTGACCTTGAAGTGACAGTTTATGTGCATAAATTCTCTCTCCCTCTAACACACATAAACACATAGTATTCATGAACACAAACATTACATCAAAAATCTCTAATTTCATATAGAAAAATGCAAGTGTGAAGAAATAATGCCTAACAGCATTTGAAACACTAATATAAAAATATTTTTCATTAAATATATTTTTTAATTTTAATTTTTTCAAAATAATATCTGCATCCTTTCACTCCTCCCCAGCAGAAAAAATATCAAAAGCAACTGAACAGTTGGAACAGAGGTTGTGGTGCTGTTCCAGAAAAGAATAATAGCATAAACATAGGAATTCTGTTTTCTAATAAAAGTGAATATGCAGTTGGCTCACTGTAAAGAATTATTTGATGTACCTATAGGAAGTATCTGGAGACCATTTGATGCAAAACTGCTGTGCCTGCCACTTGGTAGTTAATTTTAGGAATATGTTCTCTGTGTTCAGCTGAGAACCTGCTTTCTGTTTGCTTTCTCCCCTGTGAGCATGGAGAGAGAGCCGCAGCCCTGAGAATGGAAAAAGGATGCTTTGTCCATCCTGCAGGTAGCTATGATTTTTGGGATGAGTGACTGTTGCCCAGGGATGCTTCATTAAAACACCTAGGAATCCTTCAAGCGAAAAGGCACCGTAGATTAACTTCTGTTAGAATTCTGTCCCACACCTAAGTGTTCATTTTCTGAGGAGGATTGATAGTGTTTCTTTCCAATTACAGTAATCACATTAGATCTCCTAGCCTTATATTCAGGCTCTGATGGAAAGGAAACACAGCTTAAAAGTGCTTAGAACCTCTTTTGGCAGCTCTCTCTAGGGGGACATGTATTTTCCTTACCATAATAAGGAAGAGAAATGGTGTGGCCTG